ACGCGAAGATAGGACTAGTGAGGAGGCCACCCTGCTTGAGCAACCGAAAAGAGTGAACAATATAGGAACAAACCGATTACAAAAACTACGATACGTCTTCTACGCCAAGAGTTCCAACAAATCTAGTTTGTTTAAAGCTGCCTTGAACTGAGAAGAGTTCTGGCACAATAAAACAGAAGAAGGTAGACGTGAAAGCCAACGAGTCGTGCGTAAAATGAAGCAGTTGTGACGAAGTTGCTTGTGGAATTTGCCCATTCTATGGCCGAAAAATTGGAAGCCGCCTCGTCGTCCACTAGAAGGTCGAAATACCCAAAACTTTGATGGCCGGAGTCGCAGTTCTCCTTTAAGTATCTTAAATGCAAAAACCAAATCAGATATAATCCTTCTGTGGAAGAGACTCTTCAAGTTAAGCAGTATTTGCGGCCATCATTGTTTTCGTCTACTTTTTTGATGCCAGTTGTCAAGCGCATGTGGGGAGAAAATATTATATTTTGTTAATTGGTTGATAGTTGTTATTAATAGACTTTCTTTTACAGTTTTATTTTTAGGATAACTCGCAGGCACCGTATGTGTTGAAGCATAGTAGTAGTCAGGTCAAAACAGTGGATGAACCGGCTTACGCGACTCTTCCACGTGGTAATACACTATGCAAGATTCAGCACTTGCATCATGCTTTATACTTTATGCTTTATACTTTACTTTATGTCTCGTTTAGGACGAAATCCCTTCAAGAACATGGGATCTAAGCTGGTTGAGAGAGTAAGGCGCAGCCTTTCGCGATCAAGTAGGCATGAAAACGAGAGCCACGAAGAGAAAGAATCGAAGACAGAGGAACCTTCAACGAAACCGGTTTTTCATTTATTCAAACTAAATGATAATTTTTTCTCGGGTCATCGAGTCTCGAACGCCTTCGGCTGTCCTTCGTTTGTCGTTGCTGCGCAGATAGCTAATTGAATGGATGGAGTTTGATACTTCGTAGTTTTTCATATGTAATGTAGGGCTCATAGGCAGGGTCAACCATCCGTTGGACAAAGTCCAACGCGACGACGAGAGTAATGCCGAGAGTGAACGTACGCACGGAGACACAGACGGCTCGCGGGGGGCGAGAGTGAATGCCGGCGCGGAGAGCGGAGGAACATCGGTCCAACGGCGCTCCAATATCGGTCCAACGTAACGCGGTGACCCTTGCTCATAGGAGAAGGTGTAAGTGTGGCAGTTCTCCAGCCCAAACAGCGTGCCGACCCTGGCGCACCGTTTGGCTTGGTAGACTGAGCACAGATTAATCGATGACTTTATCGTTTTCACCTTTGCCATCCATGCAATTCGCCTTTGGAATGGGTCTTCCCTCTGCCTCACCATCGGCAAATGTCCCCAATTAGAGGCACGGGACGTGTTATTTTTTTACCGCGGTCATGCGTATCGTATCGTGGCTCAGAGCCGCTGAACACTTTCAGAATTCGAATTTGGCCGAACTGGTGAAGGTAGCGCCAAAAAACCACAAGTGAGGCGGAGGAGGTGATGACACTGCTCAAGCTTTCCCTAAAAGCAACAGCGCATTGCGTTTCTTTGCTGAATGCGAGTTTTTCATGAGACTCGTCTTCGCGCGTGACCTCCAATCTTACGTTTCTACAATTAGTGGCAGTAAAAAATGTCTGTAGGCGACGACACCAACACGGGCCAGAATATCCGTCTCTCGAATTGTCCAAAACGGTATTTTTTCTCGCAAACAGTCATTTTGACAGGGCTAGGTTCCCTAGCCATGGGAAAGGATTTTCAAATGTAAGAGAAAATTTCTTTAAAAAAATGCAAAAACAATCGGTATGCTAAGGATTTAAATCCTCGACTCCCACACACGAGCCGGTTAGTGACCACTCTTAGTGGCCATCGCTGCGCATGGGTTCAACATATCCGTCTCATATTCGTGTCGAGCTTGGGTCTGCTCCATATCACAACAGCCTCTGTAACTTTGTTCAGAGAGTCGTTTAGGCAGATATGGAATACAGATTGAGAACAGCATTCGAAGACCTTCAGGTCAATACCACAATCTATTCTCAGACGGACGTTTCGATCCTCTACCCTCCTTTCCTTGCTGGAGAGACCGCCTGTCTTACTAAAAAGTTTACCCTTCTGCGACCTCGACCTTATTGTGGAATTCCCTCCTTCAAGCATATGCTCCTGTATGATGAACCGTTTTGAAAGCGGGGAACGACCTGAAAGACCTTCTCCAAGAGAGGAAGCACAGACTTGTGTTTCTCTTCTTAAAGAGGATCGCTGCCAGAACCTCTCAGATACTCGACTGACTCGATACTGCCTATATACGCCATTCGGTATGCATTCACGCATAAATACTCAGCGCGGGTACGGTAGTACAAGTCGGGTAGTATGAATTGGCTTGCCGCAAGAAAAGCACGAAGTATGCCCACGCCCCCAATTATGCTCTATTTCGGAAGACGAGAAGAAAATTGGGTGCAAGACAATATAAGAATAACGGCCGAGAGAAAAGCGCTTTTTTTACTTGGCCGTCGTCTCTTATGGTGTGGGTCTGCACTCGATTCTTCCCGTCTTCCGAAATCGAGGGTACGTTCTAGAGCACATATTTCCTTCGAACTGCGATTACTACTCATTTTAACATCGGGATCAAGTCGTTTTTCGCTGCCGCTTCGAATCTCTCCCTTAGAGGAAGCTGCATCAACTTATTTTTATGCTATTACCCCTTTTGAGATGCAACTGCATTAAATCGTGCATTTTTCAGGAGCGGTGTTCTACAACTCTCAAGAAAACCAAAAAGAGATCTGCCGAGGGGAAGGCTCGAAAAATTTGAGGCATCTGAATAATTTATCGATATTTCCAAGGATTTCGAGAATGTTTGTGGTAATAAGAGTTTTTTGTGTATCGTCACAGTATTTAATATTTAATCATTGTTATTTGAAAGATTGTGATATGTGAATCTTGTTTGCTCTCAATTATGTGTTTTAGAGAAACCTAGTCATTGCATTTGATCAATTTCCTCAGTCTATCAAGATTCAGCCAATTTGCCACAAAAGAGTCTAACCTTATTGAGCGACTGATTGCACATAGTCCATTGCTCACAAAAAGGAAAGCACTCGCCACTCACGCAGGAATTTTCTTCTGAAGTCCAACTTTGTCTCCGAGACTTCTGTGTAACCACAAAACACACTAACAGTTATGTAAGCGATAGGGAACAGATGTGCGAATGCAAGACTGAATGCGACTGACTCACCCACACACCATTATCGTCAAAATCAGCACTTAACTAACACATCCCTAAATCTGTGTGTGGGTGCGTGTGCGGCTAAACATTCGTTTTTACCTCCAGTCGACTAAAAACTCAGTTGCTAGGCATCATCTTTTCTGGTTATTGCATTCTTTGAGAATAAATATTGTGAAGTTATGTTATGTGAAGTTGCTTTTTCTACTTCAAACAGAACTACACCAAAATCAATATATTTTTATACACATCACTTTTCCATTGTCTTATGAATAATATCAGTTTGTCACAAGATAGATGTCATTCTAAGACATACAGGAGGGCGATTATCGAAACATAATTCGGGTAGTTCCTTGCTTGATGGTTACACGGTACAACGAATGGTAATGAAGATTAAAGTAATCTCCCTCGGAAAATTCTTGCATTCTTTCCCAACATGAGTTGTGATCACTAAGCAGCACACAAAGTTTCACGCACGAAGATTCGGTTTCCGAAGAGAAACAAACGTACAAAAACCACACTCTATGGACAGTCGAAGGTAGGTCGCGCGGAGCCAAAGGCGGGGCATGGAAGTCGCCTTGGGGCGGCTACGTATCAGGCGACGCAATGAAAGAATCGGGTTGAAGCGTGCGAGATTTGCTGCAATAAGTCAAAAGGTCCGGAAACCTTTCCGCCGCCAGCATTGGTGACAGATGTCCGACGGGAATTTGAACATGTAGCAGTCCCACCAGCTTTTCGAATTTTCACCAAAACAAATGCATTTTTGAGTTCTTTTCGCCTTTTTTGCGTGAACGATAAGTCTCAAGCCTGCGATTTAAGGGTGAGATAGACCCATTATTTTACCGGAAATTCTCATTTGGGGCGACACGTCAATCCAGAGCTCCTAAGCGAACTATGGCTAAATCAGATATTTCACAGAAGCTGCGGTATTGTTTTACTTTGCGTTCACCCCTATCAATCATATACGTAATGTACTAGCCTCATTTGTGAATTGTGAGGAGCTTTGCGCGCCCCCCATGCCAGAAGGAATTGTTGTGGCCTCCGCGCTGAGCCGTAGGATGGCGCACGCTCAGCGCAGCCACGGTATACAGGTATCGTACAGGCTTAAGAGAAAATAAAAGCTACTGCAGGTTCGCTTCTGGACACTAAGCAGCAACTATGAGCAATGAAATAAAAGTCTTAGGGTCTCGGATAAGGGGAACCATGGCTGTGCCTCTCAGTGCGAATTCATTGTAGCCCAGCACGATATTTCGACTAGAAGGAGCAGACGAAAGCACAAAAAAAAACGTAGCTTGCGCGCGATATAGATCACTGTGAGAAAAAGCCTCGTACTAGAAAGTATTTTGCCCCATATATCTTCTTGTTTCTATTGTGATTGCTCTTACGTATTCCTTCAGAATGAGCCAGTGTGAAGTTATCTAAGGGCACGTTTCATCAGCAGCTAAGCTTTTCGATTAGCCCCTCTTTGGTTGTGCTCTAGATACTGTCCTAATCGATACGTCTGTAAGCGGATTCTAGCCATATCTTCCTAGCACACTTCTTCATCGTTTATCATCGTCTTTTTTCACCATCATGATTAGGATGCTCTTGCGAGATGCCTGTTTCATTCAGTAAGAAAAAGGAATCATTATGAACGAATTTATATGTGAGGACATTTTGTTTGACATGTTGTAGGGTTTGGGCAAACCTGAAGCTGCTATTAGAGAGATTACAAAGTCCGGTGAGTGACCGCAACCGTAACACGTGACTGGTTGGCGCGCAACGCCACGTGTCATCGATTAGAATTCGACGTGCCCTTTTGTCGTTTTTCCGCGCACTCCACGGCGACAGAATGGGCGTGATAGAACCTGGCTCTTGTACGGAGCGTCCATGCTGGTATATAGGAGGACTATGGCAGTTGGTCGAACTGTGCCGGCAAGTGGTTTGCCGGCACCCCGGGGCTAACCTCCCTTGCCCTGCGCGCGAAGCGCGCCGTTTGCCTCGCCGCGCAAGCGACGAGGCGAGCGCTGTGTGTATTTTTGAAATTAGATTGCCCAAGTTGGCTGGGTGTGTGGTTTCGGGTATTATGCACTCGCCAGCGAGGCACTATTATACCCTCTCACGTTGGTGCTGAAACGTGTGGGTACACAGCAGTAGTGTAGCTGCGCGCTCCAGTGCCAACGTGGATTACGGTAGCGGTCACTCATCGGACTGTTAGAACCGGCTTGTGAAGCTAATTTGGTTACTGGAAAAGTAGTTTATCTCTTAATTGTGGAGGGTACGATGATACCCAGATTAATTGAGAAGGGCTACAAAAATAACTATATAGATAATGTATATCATATATATATATATGTTTTAAAAATCTGTGCGCCACCTCGTCAATCGACGCGCTCTTCCAAATAAAAACACGATTCAAGAAAAATCGTGAGGATTTGCAAGGAGTCTGCTTCGGAAAGGATAGGAGGAATCACTTACTGTCACACATGTAATACGTTGAACGGAGATTCGATGGAATGTTAACTTTCGGGAATAGACAAACATGCGGATTCCGAATCTGCTCCAACTTGGCGTACATAATCGCTGAAGAAGCCTGTTATTTGGTGAAAAGGAAGTCAATGCAGCGAACAGTTACCTTTCGCGGTGTGTCGGGGAAACGAACGCCTTCGACAGTGGCTATTTTTATTAAATTTTTAAGATTCGAAGAAATGAAGCAAGTTATGACTTCCGGAACTTGTAAAAACTCGCGCTCGTCACGAATTTCCTCGTTAATCAATCCAAATTTGTTATTTCTTATTTATTTTCATAACTTCAGTACTGATTGAAAAGAGTACTCAACAAAATCTCCAAATCTGCTTTCGGATTAAAAAATTCGTTCTCAAAAAAGTTTTAGCCAGTTGAATATAGGTGCCAACATTTTCAAATAGTAGAGATAACACTGCCCTCCAAGGGTAACATGCCTAAGACCACAACACACACAACTGCGGTTAGGCTGTTACAAGACCGTTTCCTTAAACAATGAAGGTGACGTGTAGATGAGGGATGCTCTCGTGTTGCTAACTAAGACTGGGTAAACCCGTCGAAGGCAAATAAAGGAAGAAGAGGATGCTGCATTGTATTGGCCATCGTTATCTTGTCCATTACGTCGGTGGATTCATGTTAATGATTTTCGTTGAGTTTTGACTTGATTGAACGGACTTTATAGTGAATGTGGGGACGCCGGCTTTTTTTTTTTCAAAGAAAGATTCTCGGGAAGGGGTAAACAACTTTCTCATAATGAGGAGAGTCGCTTCAAGGACTTCGGCCGCTAGGAGAGGGGGGCGAATGCGGAGGTTGTATTCAAATACTTCTCGATGTACTTAGTTCGACCTTGGGAGTAATCCCATAGTAATACAAGCAGATGCCAACGAGCCTGAGCATGGGAATAGGCCTTGAAGCTGTAGTTGCAGCAGCTGCGATTTTCCCCCGGTCAGCAGCAGGCCTCGTCTGCTGTTCTGGCGCCCTCGTCCTTTGGTGCTCTCTCTCACCTCTACTTCTCTCCGCGCTTCAATCTCTCATTGCCGATAAATCCAGTCGTTACAAAGAGAGCGAGTAAAGTCCTTACTTTGAAGCGTTTTTCGACAGCTTCTCCGTGGACGACCGCAATTGCTTAAAAAACTCAACGTTGCGCCTTGACAGTAAACAAAAAAGGTGAACACGTAGTATCCAGTAAATAGTGTTGTTAGCTACAGCTTCACATCAATTAGCGATAAACTTCATCCTATATATAGAAAGGATGTGCCGAACTTGGCATCGATTGTAACATTCAAGCGCGCGCTTCTCGAAACAACAACTAATTACATAGCCCATCAAAAAAATCAAGGAGATTTCGCAGATCGGATACCGACACTCCTTCTGTTATTGGATTACTGCTCGCTAGTAAGCAGGCACGTGACATGCAAACTCAAACCACAAACAATAGATAGAAACCCTCTAGTGTTCTTGTCCAAAAGGTATTGTCAAAATGCACACTTGTTGATGCCAGCAAAAAAAAAACGAGTGAGCAGCTTACGCTAGATGGGCCTTAAACTTGTGAGGGCGTCTCCACCCAGGGTCAACCCTATCGTTGTTACTCTTCGAAAATTTTTTACGACCCCCCCCTTCATGGTTGATTTGATACGACCCCCCCCCCTTACGTTACACTTGTGTAAAGACAGATTGACCTTAATATTTATTGCTACTCAAGTCAAATCAGCTTCCGAATAATGAGATGCACTCGAAGGTACCCGAAGGGTACCCCGAGGGGTTACTAAACTAAGAGATCGCCAAACTGAATCAGTTGCCTTAACACATTGTGGACCGCCGTTGAATGAAAACTTCGCCAAAAATGAGTCATCTATCAATAAATTTTTTGCCCGCTTGAAGATGTGTGCAAACTGTTCAGAAAGATTGTAAAGACAATAAGTCAGACGAAACCATGCTCTTTCAATCATGCGATGTGATTTCAAATTTGCTGGTTGGCGCCCTTTTGCCTTGCTGACGGTGGAGCGCATCTGCTCAAGGTGAGGAGCCGTCGAACGGGAATGTGAAAAGTTTAGGAGTTTTTTTTGTTTAATTTCAGGTAGTCCGGAAGATATCGGCGGATGTTGGATCAGCGTGGTTCATCCTTCTCAAGGAGTGCCCATTTTTTCTCAAACCCTTCACAATGAAAAAGTTATAAGCCAAAAAATTAGATTGCAAGAGAATTTTTACACTCCTCTTTCTAGGGCTATAACTTCCTTCATGTTCGAGCTTCAGCGCCATAGTGATTTGATTTAAAAAATTCAAATTATTCTCTAGCCAATCATGGGTATAAATTCTTCGAAAGTTAATTTATTAAAAATTTTGGACGTTGTGACTTTCTCTGGTGCAAACCGACTTTTTTGCTTTCAAACGATCATAACTTCCTTCAAAGTCATTCATTTAGGAAGCTGAACGCGATATAACACACTCCAGGATTCAAGCTTTCTAACGAGTACCCAAACGTTCCTGCAAAATCAGTAGTTCAAAATTTAGTCCCGTTGTAACCATTATAAAGGGCTGGTGTAACCATTTCTTTGAAAACGCGACTTTTTTACCTTCAAACGATCATAACTTCCTTAAAAGTCATTCATTTAGGAAGCTGAACGCGATATAACACACTCCAGGATTCAAGCTTTCTAACGAGTACCCAAGCGTTCCTGAAAAATCAGTAGTTCAAAATTTAGTCCCGTTGTAACCCTCAAATTTGAGGGGTATTTTTTGAGCCACTTTCTCGAAAACGCGAGTTTTCTTAAGGTTCCACTGCCCGTAACTTCTTGGAAGACCAATTTCATGTTTAATTTAGGATGTGCTAGAATGCTCCGAGCATGCGCTTGCACTACATCCCTTGCCTTGGTGCGCGCCACGCCTCGGGCGCCCTTCTAATTCGCTGATTCATTTGAAAGCTCATTCAGAGGGAAGCGTGGTTTACAGATGCTCTAGTATCAGTAATCTTGCGCAAACGTATCGTGCCGGCTATCATGCTGGTCTCTAAAGGCATTAGTTTCATATGTGGTCTCGTGGCTGTCACAATGCGAGTACTTTTTTCAGGATGCTGCAATCTTCCACTTCATGACTGCGTCCTTGCAGGGAGAAGGCTTTGCATAATTGCTATAACTATTCACAAACACTTTCTTTGCTGCGTTTGCTCTTCTCCTTCGTACCACTATCCATACTCAGTAGGACATCACCAAGAATTTTCAGTGCCGGCCACCAAAAAATTACGACCCCCCCCTCCAAGCTCAATTCAGTACGACCCCGTTGTGACTCGTCACAACGTAGGGTTGACCCTGCTCCAGGAGTTCGCCGTTGGACAGCTTCCTTTCATGAGACTGTTCAAAAAGTTGTTTACTCGGTGTGCTTTTGTTTCTAACCAGTAGTCTTTATATTACCAGATGTTAAATCCTTTTTCCTACACAATCGGCGCACAAAAGTAGCTTCCGGGTGTATGGAGACGTGACTGAACAGGCGAATTTTCCTCGACGAGTCGTCGACAAATCCTTCGACCAATTTTCACCCTGCCATTGACATTATTTCAGCCATTAGACCAACAAGAACGCTCCATCCTTCGATCACTTTAGTGCATTCTCCGCTGAATTCCACATGCCGTGCAGTAAGCGGGTTTTACTTGGTAGATGAGATAAACAACAACCATTACAAGAGAAGTCAATCCGTTCACGCTTGCTCTACGTTTCGTTCAACAGAAAATAAAAAGCTGTAAACTGGGATCGCTCCTCCCTTCCCCCCCCCCCATTCACGCTCCCACGCTACTTGCGAAAAGGTCGCCATCAATTAGTGATACACTGACTGGCATAAAACAAAATGGATTGACAACACAACCCGAACCACGATTTTTTCGAAAAGTAGAATGATTGTTCATGATCGTTATGACGGGTTTCGGACCGACCATTTCGCCACCATCCTTCAGTCGTGTGCGCGGCCACGCCAAATGGGACCAGGCTGGCTGTGGATTGCGGACTCCGAGTCGCTCAATGTGCGTTCGCTCTGGCAGGGTCAACCGTTACGTTGGACCGATATTGGAGCGACGTTGGACCGATGTTCACCGCTCTCCGCGCCGGCATTCACTCTCGCCACCCGCGAGCCGTCTGTGTCTCCGTGCGTACGTTCACTCTCGGCATTACTCTCGTCGTCGCGTTGGACTTTGTCCAACGGACGGTTGACCCTGGACTCTTGGCAACACCTATGAGAGACTTATGTTGTTGTTGTACACAAGCTCTGTACAAGCAGGTTGCTGAATATTATTATTTAGAAATTGGAACATTCATAACTTGAGATGGGCAATATGCTTATCAAAAAATCAGGATTATTATCAGGATTACAAAGAACACAATTAAAATGGCAAATCGATCATACGAAATAAGCAAGAAATAAACGTGTAGAGGATAGTCTCCTTGGCAGGAAATCGGCAACATCGACGGGAGCTTAAGGGATACGACTAGTTTTATACTGACTGCTTAACAAAATTTATGCAAATTAAAGAGGGCAATGTGATGGATTACACACTCGGCCCTTTAGTCAAGAAACCACGTTCACGTCCATCTAACCAGAGGTGCTTTCGGGCCGAATACTTGTAGAAACAAAAAGTGTATTACGTGATTTCGATAGTAAACGGAGTGTTCATGAAATGCAGATTTGTAATGCGAAAAGGCAATATATATGTATAACATGACACATTGATTGATAATGTTATGCTATATCATAACTGTGTATGTGAGTATAAAAGTCGTCCCTCCCCCGCCAGTGAACCGTCGCTCACGTCGATTTCATGATGACTCAATTTGCAATAGAAAATTGGGCATTAAAGGATACATACCCAAATTGCTTAAAGGCAGTGATCGCGATAGTTATAGAGTGGTACGATTTTGATGATATCATTAATAGCACAGCGTCAATAAGTGGCCCCAACCACATCTCCAGCGCGCTGAGAGTCCAGTCTACTAATGACGTTCACCGACGTCATCAAAACCGCACCACCTTTCAGGCATAGCGATCACTTCCTTTGACACAGCTACTGATTCAGTAAAATGGTAGTCATGCCATTTGTTATATACTCTATTTCGGAAGACGACAAGAAGAGCGTCGAGTGCAGATTACACATCATAAGAGACGACGGCCGGGAAAAGAGCGTTTTTTTTTTCTTGGCCGTCGTCTCTTATGGTGTATGGTCTGCACTTGATTTTCTTTTCGCCTTTTGAAATCGAGGGTAGGTTTAATGATGACACCCTAGTAACTGCTAACCTCTTGGAAATTAGGCAGAGTTGCTATAGATAAATACGCAATTCGTTTATTTTTCCCTAAACTAGACCTACGTTCCAGATTGATAACAAATGCCACCATACCAAGTATCAACAAAAGTGAAAACTTCGTGCCCCGGTAACAAACTATTGCGGTGCCGATTGTACATAAGGTATAGTGGATTTTGAGCTTATTCATGTAATCTATGCACGGTCCAGTTCCTCTATAACATTCCACAAGTGCGCTTGCAATTGTTTCAGTTTTAGAAGATACCTCCCCACGTTCAGAAAATTAATCGAAGGATTTACAACGCATCTAAAAGGAAACTGAGATCTAACTGATTGCTCCTAATCTCAAGTAATGTAATATTACAATGTGGAGCGAGACTTACATAATCTTAGGCACAAAACGGAGAGAAGATAAGGGACCTAAGCAAAAGTATAACAATTTCTGCCTATTACACCATGAAAGTGTACAAAAGATACGCAAAGAATTTCTTTTTTCTTTTTTCTTGGAAACCTACATATTTGCTGTGAGCACTTGCGTGTATACTCTGTTCAGTAGTTATGAGACGTTCAAAATGGTGAAGCAAAATAGCTTCTAAGTGAACGAAGAAGGGCCATGAAGAGTAACACACTATACCAGAGAAGCACCGCAACCAAAGCAAGTATTCAACCAGTATTATTAATTTATCACAGCTACAGCGAGCACGACGGTTATAAAAAGGTGCCGTACAAACGAACTTCCATCACCAGTATATGAGGCGACACGCTGTTCACGCCGATCGTGAGCCGTTGTTCGAGCACAATGACGCCGTCGCGCCTCACAGTGTAGACGAGAGGGATAGAAGTCGTGTGCTACAATGTGTGTTCGCATCATGTTGCCATCTTCTACAACACCACGAAGATCGCATGGATGCACACAACCACACCGTTGTGCCTCTGGCTCCTGTGGTAATGGAATACCTGATCTGACATCGAGGGAATTGCACTTAGAAACTTAAGCAGTCCCGTGACAATGTTTTGAATCGCCTCAATAAATTTCTAAAGCAGAATAGTGGGGCGCTCGAGACAATGTCTAACGGCGAAATGCACGGTCGGTCGATCCGATGAACGCTCTGACGTATTTGCATGACTTGTATACGTTTCGACCGTCTGGCATGCTACCAATGCGATCGCTACGATCGTTGTCGCGCGTGTCGCACGATTATACGAATCTTCTACTTCACACTCGAACAATCGGACTTTCGAACAACCATGACGCACGGTCACGTGTTGTTTGGGTTTGTGTTAGGTTACCGCGTCGCCCCTCTATGCCACACCGCAGGCAGGTTTACCGCGTCCGCTCCTCATATGCACCGCTTATTTGCGATCGCTACGATCGGACAACCGACTGCGAATGCGCTTTAGACAAGCTTACAGTACATATGTGGAAGTCTGATTAGGCGTGTCTGTGGACTTGACGTGGTTGTCGCCGCCGCACTAGAGGAAGGCGTGTTGGTATAGCTGGTTCCGATGTGGAGCGTGCCTATACAAGTTGCGGCAGGCATTGCCACGTCAAGTTAACACCGTATAATACAAGATATGGGGCGGTATTCAATCCTTCCCCCAGGGGGATATATCCCCTCCTCTGATTCAATCCTCTGGGGGGACAAAAAAGGGTTGCGTCATAGGACCTAGCATACCTCTGTGTTTCTACCTGCCAGACAGTTAGAGCAGCGCGACCCCTCAGGGAAAGAGTGCTTCATCAGTGGAGGGTAGTAGCGCTGCTCTAACTGTCTGGCAGGTAGAAACACAGAGGTATGCTAGGTCCTATGACGCAACCCTTTTTTGTCCCCCCAGAGAGATTGAATCAGAGTAGGGGGATATATCCCCCTGGGGGAAGGATTGAATACCGCCCCAGGTCGTAAGCCACTGGAGTCAAATTGTGACTTCGGACTTATCGTTTACGCGGGTAATGCGTAAGATCGCGGCAACGCGAGATTACGTCCGAAAAATTTGAATTCATAACCATTGCAAATTTTCGGTAACTTGTCCACTTGAAACGGATAAAAATGCGGCGAGATAAATTGTTTGCGAAGAACAAAGGTCACGGAGATTCGGGACCTTATGGAAATCCCTACAAATACGGGTGAGTAGATATCAACAAAGAATCCTTGACGTCTTCCGAACATAGCGACAGTTAAAGAGCTGTACAACGCATATCACGACACAAAGAAAACAAAAATAGAAAGACCTCTGCACTGAAATGAAGGATGCCCTGCATAGTCGACTACTTTCGATGTGGCAAGATGTGGGCAGGCAAGTTGAGCATAATAACACCAGTTGACGCATGGCGGTTCGCGCCATATGGAGATGTGGTCTGCACGAGCAACCAACGCTTGTACCATGACTGAAAGTGAGTGAATAAATTTCATTACGGATAAAACTCACAGTCGTCCTGTTTACAGATGCGGGAGAAAGCATTTGGGAGACGCAGATCAATTTTACCGTCCAGGAACACTTTTGAAACAGCTGCCATAAGACTGGGGTGCCCACATTCCAGTGAAATCTTTTCAGTTAAATAAATGAGCTTCAAGACAATTCTGATCCAACTTGACCCCAACCATGACTGATTTTTCCAGTGCACTAACTTGAACATGATTCATACAGAAACAGCACAAAACAAGCCGTCCTCTACGCCAGATGTCAACAGTGTACCGTAGGGGTGAGCTTATCAAGTTCGTTCCAATATCATATTGTGGTCCATAATGTCTTGGTACGCGGGATGCAGCGTGACATTCTGACATGCCCACTGACTGTGTGTTTTAACTCAACGAGAAGTTAAGAGACCTAACGTTACTAAAGCCTAGTTCCACGTTTCCAATTCAACTACACGACATGGGAGATTAGGAGCTAACGAGTGAATGAAATAGCGGTGCTAATGCTAACTTAGTTGGGGGGGGGGGGGCGGGGCCACGCGGCGGCGCTTGCTCGCCTGGCATCTTTGCGTACTTCGGGAAATCCGTGAGCCAGGGGGAGTGTAGGCAGTCTAGGGGGTGGGGGTGAGGGCAGTCACTTGACATGCGTGAAAAGCTGGAATGTTCGAGTTTACACTGTCTCGCTCGAGAGAGCCCAGGTGAGCAGACTGCCGCGCCGCCGCGTGGCCCCCCCCCAACTAAGTTAGCACCGAAATAGCTACGCAATGATAGAAAGATCGCGAGTTCAGAGATTAGGAGGCCACGAGCCTAGGAGACTCCGCTTAGAAGAGAGACGGGTCTCGACTGAAATCGATGAGACCAGCAAATCACGAGATTAAGATATTAGGATAGTAGGATATTAGGAGGTCAGGATATTCCGCTACAAAGACTGAATAAGTATTGATTGATCCCGATGGAAATTGCTCATCTCCTACACGATACGTATCCAATGTTTTCTGATGGATATCTTAGTTTAAAGAAACGTGGAATACGAACGCTGCCCTCATTTGAAGTCCTCATCTAGGATACAGGAAGCAGTTGTGTTCACCACAGTGGTTTACCGAACAAATAAGAAGGGTTTGCACAAATATTGAAACATTCATCGGCCAGTTTCCCCTGTCCAAAGTTGTAGAGCGCACAAGGATGTATTCAGCATTGCGCTAAGGCTATCGTATCCACTTAGCACATCAAGGGCACATTCTGAGATTGCTTAGGTATGGATTATTACACCCGAAAGCGAAGGTAGATGGGAAAATTGGTCGAGCATTTTGAGAGAGCCAAGGAAAGACCTTCAGAAGCTTACAGCGGCTCATAGAATAGTCAAAGCTGCCCGTATATTTGTCCAACCCTCTTCTTAATGGCATGCGGAACAGTATGGGGTGAGCTTTCATGGTGTTCCCAGCTATTCCACGTACTCTCCTCATTATTGGCAGACCAATTTCACACTGACTTTCATTTTCGAGTGCAATAACTCACATTATTGCAATCGCTAAAAACACCTTTAACGAAAAAAAAACGGCATCGGAGACAAAATAGACAACTTACCCGACACGTTGTGCAGCTTCCATTTGGCGAAAATGGCCTCGTAGCACTGGCGGTGTCAACAGCAGGCATGCAGTCAAAACGGAACAATGTCTAGAACGAGGAAGAATGAAAAAATCACTAGAAATTCTAGGATAAAGGATGAAGGATGAAGATTCAGGCCTTGGCCGATCACTTTTTACGCGCTGCGAATTCTACTTCCACTCGAAATCTTAACCGCATTTGACGCTACATATAGAGGCCTATACGATGTGCGGGGTCCAGTCTGTGTACAAGCCAGTGTTTTTATTCTCAGACAAGTCTGCAACCAACTGATCAACCCGGTGGGATGGAAAAACTCGTTGGCCTGGGCAAGAGTAGATCCAAGATTTGACGCGGGATCGTGCGTGGAAGTAGCGCAACTTGACACTAAACCACCTCTGCCCACCTTCAGATGTCGGTCAGGCTCTGCGATTGCATCGCGCGATGCAGTCGCTCTGCCTAGAGCGATTGGCATCGCTCCAAAGTGCGAGCGACGGGAGATTTACACAGCCGACGACCGATACACACTGCGCCGCTGGGGTAAATCTCCCGTAGCTCGCCCCGGGGCGCTGCAATCGCCGAGTCTGGCCGACA